GGCTTGGAAACGGAGATGAGCACCGCATCCCTAGAGTCAGATTCGACTGGCTTTTGAGCAAGGGAAACCTTTACCTAAAAGGGAAGAACCCCTGGGTAATCAGGGTCCACTTTCACCTTGAAACAATCCTACCCTGATAAGTAGGAGAAGCTGGGTAGAGTTCACATTTCACAGCAGATCCCCAAACTGGTCCCCAAATGACCCCAGCTAGTAGTCAAGGGCCTTGGCTAGCATCTCCTGGAATTTCCAACACCTTGATGTGATTGACTGTTTTTCCTCCATGTTGATTAACAACCTCCACATTTATACATGCCACTTGAAATGCCTTTCACCCCCTCTTCTCATTGTGGGTGCGCTCATGTGCAAAACAGAAAGTTAGTTTTAGATGTGCCCGCATCAGTTTTCCGGAGCTATGGAGGGATGTCAATTTACAATCATATTTCACCATTCCTGTGCTATATGGTGCATGTGGGATTTTGATTTGTATGTTTGTTTTCTTGATTATGGAAAGCAACAAAACTGAAACATTAATTCAGTATTGCTTTGCAAAGGGTTACAGCAGCATGAGCCAGCTCTGACTAGAATGAAAATATGCTGTACATACCACTACTTAGAGCTGGACAAAAGGAGACTGGAAAAGAGAAGACTTACAGTACAGTACTATGCAAAGTGAATGTCCTTGAAGCCAACAGGGCGTATAAGGCTTTAACTCTACCTAGAACTTCCCTGTTAGGAACTGTTTGCCTGATCCCATCCTTTTTTCTCATTGCCAGCTATACTCTTCCCCCACCACCTAGCTCAACTCTCACATGTCAATCAGATCCTTCAAACTGCATTCCTTCAATTTCAACCCCTCTGTAAACACGAAGACCCTTCAGGGCTGTACTGTGCAGCAATTATATCTTTATATCATGCTCAGCTAAGTCAAGCGAGGCTATTGCAGAGTTGTTCTCAGTTCTTCTTTCAAGACATGTCTGGTGCCAGCAATTGGCAAGGCAATGCAGTTATCTAGATCCATAGACTCTCCAAGGCCTGCAGAGCCAAGTTTCTGATATGGAGCAGTCCCCCTTCTACTATCTCAGTATACCAAAAATCAGCTGTGGGGGTAAAAGGATCATGTGAGTTGTGTGTTCTCTCCAAGGCTCTCTTTTCTGGAGAGGGAGAGTTATCCAGCATACCTTGCCATTCTCTTTATCCAAGCTTAGCTTCCATTCCACTCTTCTCTTTAATCACATGTAAGTCCATGAAAGTTCAGCATGCTTCCTGCCTTATCCTTTCAAGCTGTGACTTTTATTTTCCTCCCCCCAACTCTTCTGCAGAGCAGTTTTAATAGTATTGGTGCAAAAGGAACTTGGGAATAGTGGGGTGGATCCAACCATCCTCCAAGAAGTCTTCCTCTAGCCTCAGGAGCCTTCCTCCAACTTAAGTGGTTTTTCCTCCCATGGAATAGTCACTCCATTTGGAGGAAATGCCCTTTAGACTGGGGGAAGGCTTCAAAACCTGACTCGGTGAAGGGAGAAAATCGGGGTGGGATCCATTGCCTCCTTGACATCATTTCTGTGCTTTGCTGTAGAATCTCCTCACATTCTAATACCTGGTTTCTCACTAGACAATGTCTATAACAGTTTTGCAGAGAAGAAGAAACTGGACCACTCCAGGTTCTCCTGTCATTGAGATACAATGGCAAGAGAAGCCATACAAGAAACACTTCCTTCTACTGTACAGCTGCTCAAGCACACAAGCACCCTTCAAGGAGCTTCTGATTTTACGAATTGTGCCGCCCTACCCTCCACCTCCTTGAGACATCAGTCCTCTTTCAAACAGCTGCAAATTGGCAGGGGGGAGGCATGGCTTAAAGAGGAGAAGTGGTGAGTCGGCAAGGAAGCATTTAACCCTTCCCTTTCCTGCTACTTCACTCTCACCGCTGCATTCATTCAAGCTAGGGATCCAGACACATGGTTGCCACATCTCAGGGGGAAAGGGGCTAGGTCTCCACTGAATGGATAGGTCCAGCCTGCCAACATGCTGAAAAAAAGTTTGAAAACTTTATTTTATTTTCTGGAGGTTACTATTATGAACACCGCAACATCTCATGGCACTTTGCATATCAGTTTACTTTCATACTGCCCATCTCACAATATTGCGCACAAGATCCGGTAACAACAAAGATGCAAGACACCATGTGCAACAATGTACATGCATGCATTAGTAAAGGCATTGTTTTGCAGATCAGGCTGATGATTAAAACTAGCTTGTTTGGAATCAATTAAGACTTTGCATATACACTGAGACTGCATAGATCAACCAGCCTCACACTTATTTGCCCATTTAGACATTTCCCAGAGAAAGCAAGAAAAAATAGTCAGGCATCTTGTGACTGAGATGCAATATTTTTTAAGAGAGACGGAAGGAGTATGCTGAAAAGGCAACATCACCCTTGGTATATACACATATTTCTTTTGTTCCACTATTGCCTTTCGTTAAATGTGTTTTACATATTTTTAAACTACAGAAACCTGAAAAACTTGTTTACCAGAGTAGTCGGCGCATAAGCTGCAGCCAAATTATGCCTTTTCCAGCTTACCAAAAATAACTACTGTCTGTCTGCAGCCCTAGCAGGAAAGTGGGTTGATGGGGGGGGTTGATGAAGTGGGTCTTTTTATTTCTTGGAGGAAATGAGATACATTGGCTTTTATATCCCACACATTCTCCCCTCCCCCCCCCCAGTAAATCTATACATCTGCAAGCAAACTCATCTATCAAAATATGTCTGTGAGACACATAGCTATCGATTAGGTAAGACACAGGCACTCCAAATCAGCCAGACGATTTAAAACTGTCCTGGACTTTATATTCAGAGAAAGTGATGCTTCTTATTCCCGTTTTGCAGGATTGAATACAGGAGTCCCTTTCCAGCACGAATTGTTTTGCGGCTGGTCTTCTCACCATTGCTTCTGGGAATAATTCTGCCGCGGACCATCCTTCTCCTCTCAGCCCCCACCCCAGAAAACCCCGGGCAGCAATAACATCGGAAGACGCCTCTCTAGCACAAACAGCAACAGGAGAAAGGGGGGGGCACCCTCCCGGTTCTCGAGCAGGGCGGGCACAACCACCATTTTCCCCTTTGCTTCGGATTGGGCGGCCTGCGTGCTTTTCAGTCAACAGATCTGCCGCGAAATAAATGAGAAGGAGGAAGCGACCGTCGATCCTCTCCCAGCTCTGGAGCCGGAACAGCCCCGCAGCCCCCTCGGCTCAACTACAGGCGGGGACAGGCAGGAGTCGCGGGCGCACGCGGAGCTGCAGTGCGCTATCCGTGGTGCTGAACAGCCGCACTTCGTTCACCAGCTATCGCCGCCGCCACAACCACCAGCAGCCAACTCGCTCCAAAGGGACTCCTGACGGGAAGCTGCTTCAGTAACGTCTGAGAGTTAACCTGCACCTTCCGGGGGTCAGATGTACTTTGAAAAAGAACATGGTGTGTGTTTGCTCACAGTTAGATTAAAGGAAACTCTTTTGTCAGAGGCTGGGATTTAGAGGATGGGAAAGGGGGCAGTGAATTGCCAAATCAGTGCTTTTGGAGTGGAGGCGCAAAGAGATTCTGAAAGGAGAACTGTGACTGAACTAAAAGAATGGTACTGGGTGTGTGTGTGGGGGGGGAGCTCTCATTGGTAAAGTACATTTTGTTTACTCCCTTTTTTGCTTTTTGGCATAATCTGATTTGTGTAATCTGGAGGGATTCTGTGTGCAGCACGGTAATGGTGCTGGTTTAGGGAAGGGGTTGGACTGGATGACCTTCTGGTTTGTGCTAGTCTGTTTTCTGCTTTAGTTCTTCTCCATGTAAAAGTCCACGACCAGTTCATCATTTGGTTTTGTTTTGGAAGGCTATTTATGCCTCTCTCCTTGCAAACCCCCCCCCCACGCATGGTTCATGCTGGGGTGATATTTGAAAGCTAGTAAAAAGAAAGTCAATACAGACACTTGGGGATGTTCTGATGTGTATGCCAAACCTAGCGCAAAGGTCCACATGGTGCATATAGATCTATGTAGATTGTAAGGCATTTACTAAAACCTAAATGAAGTTCTGTTGATATTCCATTGACCTAGGTTTTTCCAAGTTAAGGAGATGGCAGCTGAATCAAAGCAAATGAGAAACACAGGGGCTGGTTGGATGAACTGGTGCAATATAACTATTGGTTGGCTGTTTCTCAATAACAGTTCAGCACATCTGCACTCCTACAGCCTCAAAAGATTGTCTTGAATGCAACTGGCATTTATTTTCCTACCTTTACTTCAGGTATCTTTCCAGGAGGATCTGGTGCATAAAAAGGCAACTTGCAAAAAGAATCTAGTCAACCCAATGGAGGGAAAAGATGTACTTTTGCTATGCTTAACTGAAGGAGCTCGTATTCCAACCGTATTCAACTAAAAGGGAAGGGGGAATGATCGGGAGCTATTTACACAGAGATGACTGAATTCACTGGAAATCTTTTAGGAGAAAAAGCACAGCAGACTCTGATTGCCTTGCCTGCCATACCCCAGCACTACAGAAATAATTGATTGAACACATTTTCTGCTAGGTAGTAGGTGGCAAAAGAAGCAAGGTCCATATGCTTTTCATTTGGATAAAGGCTGGAATACAAGAAATATGGCCCTATGGAGCAATCTGGGACTGGAGAGTAAAGCCATGCTTTACAAGCAAATGACCACTGCACTCCAGACCTCAGTAATGGGCTGGGAGGATCAAAGAACTCCCAATGTGGATTTAAGGAAATCTCTCTCCCTAGGCTGATGTGGGAGACCCCTATGGGATACAGGTTAGTGGAATTCTGCACTGACATTAAGCATGACAAGCCAAGATCAATGACTCAGAGAAGAAACCTTTCTGGTGAACTTGGAACCAAGTTTTCCTCTTGGACTCTTTAACTAGACGGTAGCTCCATGCCAGTGTCTCCAATGAGGTGTTGGTTGCTGTCCGTCACCTCTGTGGTGCTGAAATTTGGATGATGTCTATCAGGAGACCAAAGGGCTGCTGCTGCGTGTCGCATTTCAATGAGGACAATGGAAGGTTCATCCTCTTAGCAGTGCTCATTGTGGCATACTTGACCGCTGGAGCCACGATTTTCTCAGCCATTGAGAGCCCATCTGAAGCAGAAGCTCAGCATCGTTGGAACTGGACCCTTCAGAACTTCAGCCAGATCTTCAACATTAGCCTCCCTGAGCTAAGGGCCTTCTTACGAAATTATGAAGCAGCCATGGCAGCAGGCATCAGGGCAGATGCCCTCCGGCCAAGATGGGACTTCACAGGGGCTTTCTATTTTGTGGGCACAGTAGTGTCAACAATAGGTAAGTCTTTCTCTTTCTTTCCCATGCTCAGAGCCTACCTCACACCACCTACCTTCTTAACTAGTGCATAGTTTCAGTAATGATCTTCAGCAAGTCTTTCTATCCATCTAGAGATAAACAGCATGTGTGTGAAGGATTTGGGGAGCCAATGAGAGTAGCACAATGGGGCTGAATGCTTTTCAAGCTGATGTCCTTCAACAAAGTGTTGTATGCATGATTTAAAAGTGCTACATACCTCTCTGTGTCAGCATCTGTGATTCCCTTTTGCTCTTTCCTGTGCCTTTTCCTTTTCTCACCTTTCTGTCTGTCATCTCTGTTTCTTTATTTAGCTATGCAAGACAGCAATATTGCTAATGTGAATTTAAAAAAGAAAGACAGTAAATTTGATACACATTCATATATAAGGATGAAATTCATTTGCGTGTAAAGCAGTCTATAAGAATATAAAACTATTACGAATATCCCATTCCATTTCCTTAACAACAGACACATGAGATACAAATATTGCCTGAGATACTCAGATGCCCTTCTGGGTGTCATGTGTGAACATGCTGTTAATGAAAGCAGTACAGTAGGCATGCGTGGAAGAGGAGGATCCAGGAGCCAAAATGATTCAGTAGGGTGTAGTGCTATTTTGCTGCCTTCACTTTTTTCCAAGGGGAAAAGGAAACCATGGATTGAGTAACATGCAAGCACCTCCTCCTTTCAAAAATCCAAACAAAAAATAAAAAGCTGCTACGCTTTGATGAAGTAAGTTGGGTGAGGTTCTCAAGAGTGGAATGTTGTTTTTTCTTTCTAGAAAGCTTTCTTAAGTTGCTATAGCAACCAGAGTTTGAAAAGTAGTTTGAAAGGGAAGGATGCCTGAGAGAGAGAGAGAGAGAGAGAGAGAGAGAGAGAGAGAGAGAGAGAGAGAGAGACTAACTGCAGTTTAGATCCAGAGGGATTGGGGGGGGGATGCTAAAATTCCTGCACGTTTCCACTTTTATAACTCTGCCTTGTCAGTTGAATGGCCTAGTTCTCACTGAAGTGCTAAACTTGTGGCTGAGCCATACCACTTCAGATTGCAAGAGTCTTACATGATGGAATTCTCTACCCACAAAAGAAAAATTCCTACCTGAAGGGAGATTATTCCAACCAATGTGACATTTTGTCTAACACTGCCCTAGTATGAATCAGAATGTAAAATTCTTATTTCCAAGCGAGAAATAAATAGCCCATCCTACAGAAGTTAGATTCAAACAGATTTCATATTTCTTTGCTATGTTAATATCAATTGGTTACAACAGTTTTGGTTATAACTGTTTTCCTTGTAGGGGTAAGATTTCTGACACCAATGGCGCACAAAATAGGCACATAAAATGTGTGGTCCATTCCATAGTGTAATTCAATGGCAAAATGATTAAATTTAAGTCAGGGACTCACATTTGTCCAGCTTTTCTCCAGCATTTACCCTGGAGTGTAATAGGAACTCTGCTGGGCCAAATGAAGAAATAATAATCTTTAGGCTTTTGTATCTCTAATAGAAAAAGATAATTCCTTGACCCTTTGATGCCTGGTGGCTACAGTCTAATGGTCATTCCTGTCTGGGGAAAAGTTGATGAGAAACCATTTATTAGACTTGGAATGTGTTCACTGGAGGACACACAATTCTGAGGAGGGGGCATTGCTTATGTTTGAATAAGGTATGTGTTTAACTTGGGGGGAAACTGATGCTACCTTAAAAACTAACAGTATCTGTGCTGATACCTGTCTGTATCCCAACTTGTATACTACTAAAAAACAGAGGCACTACAGGACCATCACTCCTCAGTCCTCATATGGAAGCTATCTTTCTATATAACAGCTGGGGCCTCTCTGTTCTGAAACTTCCTTTTGCTCTGGGAATCAGGTAGCTTTTCAGCCTGCAAGAAACTGACATCTAATTGCACATTGCACTAGAGTTAGGCCTGGTCACATGTGCAAGAAAATGAGTACAAGCCCAGAGAAGGGGGTATAGCCTTTCTCCTGGCTGTGCTGGTTTTCCATTTACTGTGGGGGGGGGGGGGGGTTTGGGTTGTTTTTTTACATGGAGGAAGATTCAGAGCTGGAATCTGTCACCTGCTGTCTGAAGTGTCACAGACCAATCTACCACCTCAGGTCTCTGCCACCTTCTGCGGCTTCATGTACAAATCAGGCCTTGCCCTGCACTTCTTCCCTTCTGATCATTTAACTTTAGTGGTTGCTTGCTCAGCAGTAGTTGTATAACTTCACAGAGGTGAACATGACATGAAATCATGGGTCATCCTGGTGATCTATCCAGCTGAGCATTCTGTCTGCTGGTAGCCAGCCAGCTGCCTCGGGGAGGTTCACAAGGAGGCCAGGATGGCAGTATTCATCCTTTGTTGTTATTTCCCAGCAGTTACCTTTCGGTCACGCCAACTTGTATTTAGGGCAGAATGAGTGTGTGCCTCCATTGTCTCCAGTGGGACTAAAGGACACAATTACAAAACATTTCTTTCTAACCCTTGGTACAACAACCAAGGATTCGAAAGAAATGCCTTCCGATCGCATCCTTTTATTCCACTGAAGACTGTGAGATGCATGCTGGTCCTGACCCAAATAATGTATGCTGGTGTTGGATGTCACCTGAAACTTCTGCACAACATTAGAAGCTTACCACCTGCAAAATCTTTCATATTTCTCAGCTTCATTGACATCTCTCTAAGTAACCTGAACAAAGGGCTGATTACAAATGTAACAAATAGATTTTCCAGTGTAAGGCTGGAAGTGTTAATCAGTCTGATCAACCATCATTCTAAAGTTTTAGCTGGTTAATTGGGCTGTGGGCAATTTTAATCCAAAAGGCTGAGGGTAAAAGGCAGGCTTGGTTGGTTTGGGGGTTGCTGTAGTTTTGGTGTCTGTAACAGGAGGGAAAGATGGTATTTCTCTTAATCAGTTGATCCCTTTTCTTTATCAGATGGCAAGTTATCTCAGACTTCCCTCAATTTCTCAGAAAGGCTGTTATGCTGAAGTCGTAGTAATATGCATGTTTATTTAAATTTACTTGATTAATTGCTTGATTAACCAATTAACACACAGCTGGTTAACTAACAAAAATCTTTAACAAACATCAGCCCAAATAACAAATTTTCATTGATTTCCTAGTGGCACCTACTGCCACATAAGTGGCATGCTGCTTTACTCATGCTGTTTATTCAGCACAGTATTCAGGATTGCAGGATTTCTCAATTTAAATACAGGGAGATGGATCCTCTGCAGTTGCAGTAGAAGGTGCTGGCTGGGGTAGATCCTTCCTGCCTTCCCCTTGAAGAGTGCTATGAAGAATGTTAGGGATTAGGAGACTTATGTGGACTAAAATAGATGTAAAATGGATGGCTGCAACTGAAAAATCATTACAAAATTATGCACGGGATAGAGAAGGTAAAGAAAGGAGTACTTTTCTTTCTTTTTCACAATATAAGAACTCATGGGCACTCAATGAAATTAATGAGCAGTAGGCTTAGGAAGTACTTCTTCACCCAAAGAGTAATTAACATGTGGAATTCACTGCCACAAGAAGTGGCAGCAGCTACAAGCATAGACAGCTTCAAGGGGGGATTGGATAAACATATGGAGGAGAGGTCCATCAGTGGCTATTAGCCACAAGGTATAGCTGGAGCACTATGTCTGGGGCAGTGATGTTCTGTATTCTTGATGCTTGTGAGGCAACAGTGGGAGGACTTCAAGAGTCTGGCCCAGTGGTGGACCTCCTGATGGCACCTGGGTTTTGGCCACTGTGTGACGCAAAGTGTTGGACTGGATGGACCACTGGCCTGATCCAACATGACTTCTCTTATGGTCTTATATTCTTAAAAGGCACTGCTTGGATTTGCCCCTCCTGTGTCAGCAGAGCCTTTTCTGCCAGTGCAAGGCTTCTTGTGCTTGAAGACTGGAGGCCTTGGATCCTAATACTTTGCCTTTACTAGGTTGTAGTGTGGCTAACTGAAGACAGGAAAATGTTTTCTAGTACCAAGAGTATGAGCGAATGTTCTGGCTGACATCAAAATGATTGCTCCCATTACTTTGCAGTGCTTAAACTGTGCCATGCACTGTGCAGATGCACAGTAGCATAATCCCTGCCCCAAAGGCTTGGGGTCTAGGGATAAGCTGGGAGACTGAAAGGTAGACACTGTATTTTTACAGTGAGGAGCATAGGTGGCAAACTGGCCTGGAGAAAAGTGTCCTGTCCCTTTAACAGGGATTTTTGTGGCAGAGGTAGATAACATCACCTGATAAATAACATGCCATTTAGCCTCTATTAAAGGGTGTGTTTTCTCCAAGCTAGCTAGCAACCTTAATGAGTAGTGGAGATACATCTATATTGAGGTTAAGGGGCTTTATTTAAAGAAGTGGCTCTTGGGAAATGTTTTAAACAGATGGTGCTATTCCACACAAGAAGCTAGAGTCCACAAAAAGTATGCACATGACACAAGCAAGAAACATTGTGCCCACAGCTGGAGATACTTTTTGTTGTTTTTGGTGCAACACCCAAGATGCACACAAGAAGCTGCCTTATACAGAATCAAACCATTGGTCCATCAAGGACAGACTGTCTACTCAGACTGACGATGGCTCTCCAGGGTCTCAGGCTGAGGTTTTCCACATCACCTACTCCCTGGTCCTTTTAACTGGGGGTATCGGGGATTGAACCTGGGCCATTCTGCATCTCAAGCAGAGGCTCTTCTCCTGAGCCGCAGCCCCTCCCTTGAGAGTTCAGTAGCACCGTAAAGAAAAACCCCAAGATTTCCAGGGTACAAGCTTTCAATGGAACTTTGACTCTTGGAAGCTTCTACCCTGGAGATCTTGCTGGTCTTTAAGGAGCTACTGGGCTTGAATCATGCTCTTCTGCTGCAGACCACCATGGCTACAGTCCTGAAGCCAAAAAGCTTTGAGGCAGCATGAAGACATTTTTCAGTCTGCATGCCCTACCTCTTCCAGGTTGAGTGGGGCTGTGGAGGCCA